TTCTTTTTCTTCCCCTTGTCCTGTTCGGCATTGTGACACAGAATTATTGTCTGAGTGTCAAAGTGATGCCCAACAGATTTACTTTCACAAGCAGAGCATTATGGCTGGCCTTAATGCTCCACTTGATATATAAATTAAATTTTATTAGAATATGCTTTGGGTTTGTTTCAGATGTAATGGACACGGGGACGGAAAACAAAGAAGATAAGAAAGCAGAAAAGTGAGAGAAGAGTTCAAATGTAAAGAAGGAGATAGGAATAGAGGAGAGAGAGACGGATAAAGAGAACACAAATCAACGTCATTGAAGTCTGCCTCTAGACCTGCGGAAAGAGAAAAAAAAAAACGACAAAACCAAGAAACCACAACACCAAACAACTTATATAATGATACTTATAACATCATTAGAAAGTATTTTATACAGTACATGTTAATACAATATATATTTGATGGCCACCACAACCCAACTGAGTGTGTATCTGATAAACACCTGAATCTAAACACCTGAGCATGCTTATCACTATAAGATTTCTCCATAAAAATGTTCAATAGTGGATGTGGGGACCCATAAACCCGTCCCCACAGGACACGAAGGTAACACAGGGAAGACTGGAACCACAGCCACACAGCAGCCCCCAAGCCCGAAACTCCGGTAGTCCCCCAACAGGGACACCCGTACCCCCCAGAGAGAGAAGCAAAGGGAAGCCCTGGGCGATCCCCAGCAACCACAATGCAGAAACCCCCAGGAGGCTGTAGCGACGAGTCAAAAGGCCCCGCCGGCAACCCGCCCCTCCAGAGTGGATCCGGCTATGGACACCAAGCCCCGAGTCCCAAGGTCATACCACCCCCCAACAGAGGCCCGACAGAGCCAGGGCACTCAGGCCCCCGCAGGCAGACACCAGGGTGGGCCCGCACACACCCCACCACACAGCCCCAGCTGCTGAGAGTCGCCAATGCACCGGCGGCAGGGGGGCCCACCACAGGAGGGGAGCATGACCCACCAATTGGGGGGCCAAAACTGGTCCAAGAGAGGGGGGACACCCAAAACCCAACCTGAGACAAACGGGCACAGAGAGACAGCCCAACAGAGCCTCTATTGGGCCGTCCATGCGCCCCACCTGCCCAACAGTGACCGCAAGCCGGCCCCAGGCCGTGGGCCGGAGCAGCAGGGAGCAGCAGCTGAGGAAGGCTGGCCGAGCGCACCAATGCATCCCTAAATCCCCACACCACAGGCCCGGAGAAGCCCCGGCATTCCACCCATGCACCCCCCCCCCCCCCCCCACACACACACACACACACAGCACCCCGCACCGTGAATGTCACATCAGGCTGACCAGCTAGCACTCCGTCGAAGTGAAGCCACGCCCCCGACCGCCGCCACGCACTACCAACGACCACACACACAGCCACATCCGACCTCCCGCCAGAACCCAGCAGCCACCCCAGCCAAAAGGCTGGCCATAGGAACCAGGAACCCCGATCAAAAGATCCAAACAATCCAGGGAGAACTGGAGCACCAGCCCCACCCACAATCGCCCCCAAAGGCCCAATACCAGGGAGCCCACCCCCCCCCCCCGCCCCCAAATGTCAGACAGAGAATGAGGGTTTAATGAAAACTGGAAGACCCAACTCCTCCTCCCCCCCCCACTCAAATAAGATGTTGATGCATGTTGTTATACAGTACGTTTAAAATGGGGGGGATGAGGCGGCAACTTGCACAGACCCACCCCCTCCCCAGAGAGCAGGCAGTGCCCGTTCGCCCCCCCAACCCTTGCCCAGAACCCTAAATGTCTACTTGCTACATTTGAGAGTGGGCACAGGTCCTGGAGGTGAGAATGATTACACATCCCAACCCCTATATGCCACCATGTGCCCACTCCAGACCCTATATATGCATGTGTCGTGAGAATGTTATATGCGAGTGTCTAGGTTGTTTGATAAAATTGGGGCCCAGGTCTCCACGAACCACAGAGATGGAGGATCCTCCCCGCAGCTCAGTAGTGCACCTGAACCCCAAGGCCCTTCTTGACTGGTGGTGTGATAGAGTGGGTGGAGGAAGACGTCGGGATGGGGAGGAACAACTGAGGTGGCAATGCCCTCCTAGGGGGCCAACTCCCCCACTGACCCCAATAGGTACCCCCATTCTCCGAGATCCACCAGGGGAGGGAGGTTCTAGTGCATCCATCTAGGAGCAGGAGGCAGCTGCACCACCAGGGACCCAGGCCACGGACCGGCACATAGCCCCAAGGACCGACCAAAACCCGGGCCAGTGACCCACCCGGGCCAGCGACCCAAGCCCCCCCCCCCCCCCCCCGAGATTGTCCATACCCCCAACCCGATCCCCAGCTCAACACCCAGCTCAACACCCAGCCCCCCAACCAAAGAAGCCACCAAACTCCAGCAGCGACAATTAGCCAGGAGTGCCTGAACAGCCGCAGACAGTGCACCACAACGACCGAGAGTGCACCCCCACCCCCACAAAAGGACCGACCAGTCCACCACAGCAACACCCACAATAAGAGCACCCCATGCAAGTGAGGGCACACGAACATGCCCAGACACCCCCCAGACCAGCAGTGCAGAGCCACCCGAGCAAAAGCCCCCCCACCCACAGCCCCCCACAGCCCAGACCCCCAGCCAAGCACCAGACCGCAGCCACAGCCAGGCAGGAAGACACGCAGGCTGAGTCTCCCCGTCCCCTCCCCCCATGGCAGAGGCCCCAACGCCCACCAGCACACCAAGGGCCCCCAGGCCAGGCCGGGTGCCAGCACATGCACTGGCCCAAGACCCCGACAACATACCCACCAAGACCCGAGACCCCCGGATCAAGCTGGGACCCCAGCCCAGGAGCGACACTCCCCCAGAACCCCGAACCCGCGCCCACCCCAAACCCACCCAGGAGAAGCCAGGCCACCAGGCCAGCAACCTGCACCTGCCGGCACAGACCGCCCAGAGGCCTGCATGCAGCCAGCAGAGGTCAACGCCCAGAACCACCAAAGCTATCTCCCCAGTTGAGCGCCATTGCCCCGGGCCCACGACCCCCCCCATGCCCCCAGCCCCGATACCCCCCACATCAACCTCGATGCCCCACGGGGCGGAATCAAAGGGGTTTACCCACCTCCACTACGGGTTGAAGCCAATCAAAGAAGCCCAGAGAGATTGTTCTGATGTGGAGGTCAGGCTATCTCAAGACTGATGTAATCTAACAAAAGGTCTTTATACTGTTTAATACTGAGTATTTTTATTTTTTCCAATTTATGAGTATAGTTTTTTTTGCTATACATAAAGCAGTAAAAATCATGTAAATTGACTTTGTCTCCAAGGTGACATCATCTAAGTGACCCAATAAGCACACTGACAGAGAGAGTGGAATATTACATCTCAGACACTTTGATAAGTCTTCACATATCCAGCACCAAAACCTCTGAACAGGTGGACAGAACCAAAATACGTGGATGTGATTGTCAGGAATATTGTCTGTACACTGTGAGCAAACATTAGATGATGCGAAACCCATCCTGAACATCCGTTGACCTGTGTAGTGTACTCTAAGAAGGATTTTGTATTGTATTAATTGTAAATTGGGGTTTTTAATCAACTTAAATGTTCTTAGACATATCTGAGACCAGAAGTTTTGGTCAACGTTGACTGACAAGTCTGTCTCCCATTTTACAATGGGAAGGGATATTGATTCATCTATTTTAATAAGTGTCCGGTAAACCTTAGATAGTAATTTGGGAGGGTTAAGATTTAGGAATTCTAATACACATGTTGGTATTTCAATTCTAGTGCTATTAAGGTTTAATTTATTTTTTGTTATAGATTTAATTTGTTGATATTCTAAAAATGTATTCTCATCAATCCCATATTGTGTTATTAATCTGTTAAATAGGATATAGTTTACGTCCTCATATATATGTTCAAAATATTTGATTCCTTTACACCTCCAACCTGGGAAGTTTATCATATTATTCTGTTGTAGGATGTCAGGGTTGTTCCAGATAGGTGTACGTCTGCATGGAATTAGTGAAGACTTTGTCATTTTAAGAAACTCCCACCAAGCTGTCAGAGGGTATATGGACATAAGTAACTGGATCAAATGGCCGGTCGGAACAAA